CCTGTTGTCTATGAGGCTCTTGGCTCCAACCCTCACAGGAGAGCAGGATACTTCCGTAGTTCACAGTCCTTCCTTAGAATCAAATGTATTCTCTAGGAAGTTAGAAGTCCTCTGGAGAGGAGATGTGAGGAACGGCCTCATTTCTTCCAGAGCCCACTCCCTTCCGGGCAGTGAAATGTCGTCCCTTCTCCTGCCCCGGGGAATATAATACACAGCAGTGGAGACCTGAAGTTTTTAAGGCTAGGTGTCCTTGGAGATGTTTGCTTTCAGCAGAGGTGTTCTATGTGTTAGGAGAGGAACTATGCATTCCCCAGGATTTGCATGTCTTATAGAAAGTGTTTCTTTGAACCTCCTTTCCTTTTCACTAGCAGTGAATCACTGCAGTCCCCCTAAGGAGGCAGGGCCAGTCCCCATCTCACACCTACAGAGCCGGGGGCGGGGGTGGGGGGGGTGGGGAGGGCGAAGCGAAGCAGACACTTCTCAGACCCCTATGACAGATAGATGGCACATGTGGAGACCCATGCCCAGCGACTGCTGATTTTGCCAGGACAGAATGGGGGTTCATAGCCACTAGATCTCCAGATTCTCCAAAAGATAGTGTAAATCCAGATTTTTAGGAGAAACTTCCCAATTATTAAATATGGGTAAGTAATCAAAATTTGGGGCTAAACAAAAGGAGCTCGTAAACCCCCACTTTGCAACATGTGAGCTAAAGCTGGGATTTGCATGTTTCATTTCTGAAATACCTCAGCCCCAAGTGGATCATTAGGGAAATAAAAGGCAACATATGGCTGGTGAGAAAAGTTTTGTGTTAAGTGTCTTAAGCGGGGATGGGAGGTCATAAAAGACTGAGGCTCCCTCTCCCAAAGCCTGGCTATCAGCCATCCAAACAGCCCTAGGCAGGACTGGCCAGGGCTTGCCTGAACCAGGACCCAGCCACCTTCCGTGCTTTAGACACTACAACCCTCTGGACGGCCAGAGCTCAGCTGGTTGGGACAGTGCTTCATCGCCAGGTCGTTCCCAGCAACATCACCTTGGCCCAGCTGTGCGAGCTGTCCTCCTCCCCTCCCTTGCCTGCTGAGGTCCAGGGACACAGACCCGAAGCAGAAATTATCTGGTATTGCCATCAGCCTTACCCAACCCTTTGTGTCTCAGTCTAGATCCTGGGTAAAATCTACATACCAACATCTCAGTTGCTGAGGTCAGGCTACCAGGCAGTGATTTCTTCTCTTTGGGTCTCTCTCTGTCTCTCTCCTCTCCTCTACCCACACCCCCACCCCCCTGCCCAAATACACATGTTGATTCAAGGAACAAGTTCCATGGCCTACTGCCCTTGAAGGACTAGCGTTGGTCCATGGCAGTGTCTCAGCAGGTGGGGATCAGTTGCCTTGATAGCAGTGAGTCAGCCGGGAAGCCCTCTGGGGCACATGTTAGCAACTGTCCTCATCATGTTGATCATCCCATATGTGGGGTCACCTTCCCACAGGTGGGGCTGGACAGAAACCCAAGCAGCCAGATTCCAAAGGCCTCCTCTGGGGTGAGGGGCCGAGCACAGAGCAGCCCTCAGGGCCAGGTGGACTGAACCTTGCAGTGGGGGCTCTGCGTGCTGATTTAGTATGCTCTGGTCTTCATGGTCAGAAAGCCTCAGGACATTTGAACAGCATCCATGTGAATACTGTACCTGTGAGGTGTAGTCGGCCAGGACCCAGGGAAACACGGGATACTGCATATAGTCATTGTACGTCCTTCCAGCCATGGTGTTGAGGTGCATGAGATACTCAAAATTGCTGATGTCCCTTTTCTACCAGAAGAGACGAAGAAGAGATAAAGCAAACATGATTGGCATCTTCCTAAGGGCCACAGGAGGTCAATCCCTAGTCTTCTGCAGCCCTCACTATGTGGGTGAGAGCAGGCAGCACACATGTCCACTGCTCCCCGTGCACCTTCTGCACAAGCCAGGCCCGATCCCAGAGACTGTGCTAATTGCAAAGGGAACTGAAGCAAATATACTCAGGAAGCAAAGTCAACCAGAAAAAAAATATATAGCTCAGCAGTCGCTAGCCCAGGATAAAGCCATCTTTTCAGTTAACTGTTGGGTGTGAAACTCCAAAGTTGATTAAAACAAGAGCACAGATGCTGTGGGTAAACTTACTGCTGGCCTTTTTATGATTTAAAAAAACTAGCTGAGGGGACCTTGCGGTCACAGAGAAAGAAGCCCTCGCTGAGAGGCTGAATGATCGGTCTTCTTCTGGGGATTTAGGGACTTTCTGTTCTGTCCCTGCCTATTGGGATAACACTCATTTTTAGGGCCTTAAAACGTACAGTCAAGGTGGAATCAGGGACTGTGTTTGGGAAGACTTTACCAAGGCCAGTGGGTGAATGAACTGCCCACCTCTTATTTGGGACCCGCATTCTGTAGTCTCTCTTGGCCTTCTCGTTGGAAAAGGGTTTTGGACAGGAGTGACCAAGCATTCACTTCTTGTTGCCACATGATGTCTAGGACTGGCCTTCTTGAGGCCCCTGTGCCTCTCACGAGAACCAGAGGCCAAATGTGAGTCCATTCAAGCTGGGAATCACATGTGTCTTCTCAGAACAAGAAGTGAACGCTTGTGCCCCTCTAGATTGTGTCCATTTACACATATGTGTATATCTGCATGGGTGGAGTATGCGCGTGCACATGGGACATGTGTACGTGCACACACACACACACACACACATGCACACGTACACTACCCAGCTCTGACTCCAAGCCTCAGGTACCGCTTTTGATCACTGAGATCTTTTGAGGGAAATATTTGGGATATTTTGATAAATTAGAAAATAAGACCCCTCCAACTGCTGGGATCTGAGCTATTTTCTTATTTGCGTGCCCAGAGGGTTTTCCCAGACCTCCGGTCCTCTAAGGGGGTCACTGTACCTGCCACCTCTGTAGCATGGTCCTGTCGGAGCCGGGGTATCGCCTGTGGAACAGAAAACAATAGTGGTGACCAAATATCTCAAGGCATGGATGAGGGGAGAGGTGGCAATTTCTGGGGATCTATGGGGCCAGGAAAGCCACAGACTTCCAGGGCACACAGCAGCTCACCTGGCAGGATAATAATAAGATTATTATCTAAGTTCTTCTTGCCCCCACACCACCCTGTCACTTTGGTTCTGCTGTGATGCTAGAATATTCTACTGCTTTAGTGTGGCCTGTGGAGAAGTCATAGGGCCACGCAGAAGCAGGCTCAGAGGCCTCGCTACCGCACACTAGATTTCCCATGGGCACGTGTCAGTCTTCCTTACCCATGTAAGTATAATATATGTGATTATTATATACTGACATGTGACTATAACTTATGTATATAGTTTTAAAAATGCAAATAATAGGGGCACCTGGGTGGCTCAGTCTTGATCTCAGCTTAGGTCATGATCTCATAGTTCGTGGGATCAAGACCTGCATCGGGCTCTGTGCTGACAGTGCAGAGCCTGCTTGGGATTCTCCCTCCCCCTCGCTCTCTGCACCTCCCCATTCTCTCTCTCTCTTAAAATCAATAAAATTAAAAAATTAAAATAATATACGGAAGGCCACAAGATGTAAGAGTCTCTGCACTACTGCTCCCACTCAAGAAGTAGCCACAGTTAACAGTTTCCAGAATAGTTTTATCCCATGCCTGTCTATTGCTTACATTGCTTTTATTTTAAGTGTATTTATTTATTTTGAGAGAGAGAGAACACAAGCAGGGGAGGGGCAGAGGAAGAAGGAGAGAGAGGATCTCAAGCAGGCTCCACATTGTCAGTGCAGAGCCCTATGCAGGGCCCGAACTCACGAACCATAAGCTTATGACCTGAGCCAAAATCAAGAGTCAGGAGCTTAACCAACTAAGCCACCCAGGCATGCCCACTATATTAAAAAAAAATTTTTTTAGTGCTTGTTTTTGAGAGAGAGAGAGAGAGAGAGAGAGAGAGAGAGGGTGAGCAGGGGAGGGGCAGAGAGAGTCAGGGACACAGAATCTGAAGAAGGCTCCAGGCTCTGAGCTGTTTGAGCTCCGATTCAGGGCTCAGATTCACAAACCATGAGATCATGACCTGAGCTGAAGTCGGATGCTTAACCGGCTGAGCCACCCAGGTGCCCCTTGTATTTTTTTTAATTGACGATACGTGGATAATCTTATTTGTGCCTTGTCACTGGCTTCCTAACACTGTGTGTAAGGGTTAAATTGTAGTGTAGGGCTAATGCTTAGCTTGAAAAATAACAGCTTTGTGTTGACACTGAAGGTTAAGAGATAACAGCCTTGCTTTGCTCTGGTAAACTACTGCCTCATACCCTTGTAAATTAGGCTTCACCAATTAAGGAAACAAAAGTTCAAAAAAAAGAGTGTCAGAGGCAGGGTCAAGGAGATCCACTGGTTGCAACTTAGAGGCAGAAAGTCTAAAGTAAACACCTCATTAGGCAACTGTTTCTAACTCATCTGGAACCTGTTTCTTTGTTCTGTTCCCAGGTGATGATAAAACGATGTGATCGGTTATAAAAACTCTGTACCCCGGTTGTTCGGGGCCGCACTCTCATCAAGAGTGTTGGTCCCGATCGGTCGGCCTTGCCTCTCATTGTAATAAACTTTGTTGTGACTGTCACTGGTGCCCGTAGCATTCTGTTTCAGGAGTCGTGTGGATGTAACATGTGGAGTCACCTCACATTGTTCTGTGGCATTCATTTCTACAGCATCAGGACGCCATTGCACACATGGATCAGAACTGGTTGAGCCTGACTCTGTGGTGGGCTTTGTCCTCACACATGACCTCTCCGTGACCACTTCTGGACATAAATCTCCGCATACTTTGTGAGTGTACCCAAGAGAGAAAGTTTTGGCAGCCGTACTACTGGGATAAAAAGTATGAGCATTTTTTTTTTTAAAGTTTGCTACATATTGCCAAATAGTCCTCTTAAAAGCCTGGACTGATTTATGTTTCTACAAATACAATTAGGAAGAAATACAAATCGAACCAAAGAAATACGATTTTGACCAATGTAGGGGGAAAGAGTTTAGACGTGCAACAGGAGGCCGGAGCTGGGAAGGGCGTGGGGAGGAGGCTTTCGCCACATGAAACACCTCTTCTTCTGCACAGCAGGGGTTTGTGGAGCCCGGCTCCTTGGCCTCTGTGGTAAACCTTGGCTCCTCTTCTGGCTCTGATTTCTTCTTCCCTCTGTGTCCTTTAGACTCTCCCTGTACTCTCAAGACCTTGCCCAAGATGTTTCACCAAAGCAAATCAAATAATGTCTCCTCTTTCTGGCCATTCCCTCTTCCTCAGTCCCGTTCAGGTGCCCACAGACACCACATGAATTCTCTGCTCCAGCCCCATGCACTGCACCAGGATCCTTCTGGATAAGGCTGCCTGAGTGCCCCTTCATGTTCCCACCACACACCGCGGCCATCATATACTCTGTTTTAGGCTTCCCAACCCTTTTCATTCAATTCTTTCCTAGCTAGGTGTTTTAGCAACAGAAAGCAACTCCCAGGCTGGGCTTTACCTCTCCTCTCCCACTCCCCATAGAGAAATCATCTTTTTGGTCTGTGTTATCCCTGCAGACAACAATAACAGTGAACAAAAGCAAAACATGGTCGGATTCATTGCTTTAGGTTGCAAAGGCTCAGGCGAAGATTTGGTTCTCTGGCTCAGTCTGTGAGCCTGCCACCTATCCTAGTTCTGGAAGACAGTCTGCCTCGAAGGCTGCAAACACAGGCAGAGCCCAGGCTGGAGACAGTGAGGGTCACCACCTTGAAAAGGACATGTGCTGACCCTTCCTGAGGCAGTGGAGTTACAAGGATGTGGAGTTAGTACGGCCAAGCTTGCTCGTCTTGCTACTGTATTGTGTAAGTTTCACAGGGGGTTGGGGCAGGGAGCAGGAAGAAGGAAACAAAAGGTACTTATTATAGTTCAGGAAATAAGAGACAGCCTCTGTCATTTTCCATTTCACAAAGTGTTCTAGAATTTTACCGGTGGTCTTTTGTGACATTGCCACCAGGTGGAATGGTGTGCAGAAGACAAAGGCATGGTCAGTGTCCCATTTCTCATTTCATCGGCTATGAGCTCCAAGGAAGATCCATCATTTCACTGCCATCAGCAAAGGACGCCATTACCCGTGGTGCCAAGACACCTAACCAAAGGTGAGCCATGGTTTTTAGCTTTTTATTTGTTTATGTGCTTGTCTTATGTAGTTGTCTTTTATTTTTCCACTTCTGACTTATTGTTTCATTTAACTTGAGAATTTGTGTATACTCCTACACTGGTTTTTTCTTCTTTTTTAAAATTTTTATATGTATTTTTTACTTGAATATAGTTGACACATGATGTTATGTTAGTTTCAGGGGTACAACATAGTGATTCAACATCTGTATACGTTATGCCACACGTGTGGCTGCCGTCCGACCCCATACAACGCTAGTACAATGCCAGTGACTGGGTTCCCTACATTGTGCCTTTTAGTCTCGTGACTGATTCTTTCCATAAGTGGAAGCCTGTATCTCCCACCCCCTTCACCCACAGACCGAAAAATACCAATAACTGTCAAACGCATTACAGATTGCAAAGACGTTTTACCCGTTGTCTCATTCCCACCAAGACCCCATGTAGTAGCCATTGCTTCCATTTACAGATGAAGAATGGACGTGTGCAGTGAGGGAGTAGCCTGCAGACTAGGGGGAGTTCGTGACAGCTTGCTGGAGCCACCCCAAGCGGGCATGGAGCAGGTCCGGTGAATACCCGACACACTGCCGGGATCAGACCTTGACCCAGGGCCCTGACTCGGAAGACAAGCTCTTTCCTCTGAAGGGGAAAAGAAAACAAAAGTAACCAAAAAGCAACAACAACAAAAGCCTTAGTTCTGGCTGACTTAGAAGGCATTTACCTGAAAAACCAGTAATTTGTGTAATTTGAAGTTAAAAATGTAAGCATTAGCAAGGTAGCCAAGGCATAAACATGAAGGTGTACGTGTATTAAAAGTGGAAGCATATCCAACAGAAGTTACCTCGAGATGCTGAAATTGAGCGGCTTTACTTTAATAAGGTTTTACAAATCTGCATTGTAAAATGTATTCATCTCCTTCTGTATTTTCTTCCTTAAAATATTGATTTTGGGGCGCCCGGGTAGCTCATTCAGTTAAGTGTCCAGCTTCAGCTCAGGTCATGATCTCGCGGAGCGTGGGTTCCAGCCCCGCATCGGGCTCTGCGCTGACAGCTCAGAGCCTGGAACCTGCTTTGGATTCGGTCTCCCTTTCTCTCTGCCCGTCCCCCACTCATGCTCAGTCTCCTTCTGTCTCTCGAAAATGAATAAATTTAAAAATTTAAAAGAAATATTGATTTTGTTTATGCTTATCTGTGTTTTATGATTTTTATATTATTTATTTTCTAATTTAAATGAGGTCCTTTTACGAATAGTCTAACTGGAAATATACTGAGTAGCAGAACTTCAGGTAATTTTTAATTTTCTACTTATCTGCATTTGATAATTATTTTAAACCCATTTATCGTCGAAAGTAAATGATCTTTTTTCTTTTGGTTTTTCAGTAAACAAAACAGTGGTGGTATCCATCTATTTAAAGTTTTTGTGGTTAACTGTATTTTTATTTTAAACTGTTTGATTTTGCTTTTTTGTACTTCTCAAAATGCATAGTGGTTGGATTAATTTTGCATTTCAATTTTTTATTTGTTAATTATTTTCTTTATTTCTTAGCTTTTTTTGGGTAGCGCAATTTAGAGGATGTTTATTTCTTCATTTCTATGTATGCATTTTCAAATTTTTCTACAATGTTATTATTTGCATAATAGTTTTCATATTTAAACTTGTTGCCAATTTTCGCAATTTCTAGGAACGTAATTTAAAGAAAAAACAAACAAAAAGATTATAAATGTACAAATACATTCATTGCAACCTTATTCACAATAGTGCCAAGCCGGAAACAACAGGAAAAGCAAAGTCCACTAGATTCAGTATTTCCACATTCAGTCGAACGGTAGACTTTAGAAATTACACATCAGCCTTTGATGTAATATTAATAGAGGAAAAAGTGACTATAGGATTGTATGGTTTTTCCGAGCATGGTTGTTGTAACTTAATAGTGTAAAAAGGGCACAAAAAGAAAACTACAAGAACTAATTAAATTCAAGTAAACAGGGAAAAGATTGCTCTCTCACAAATCAAAGAGCTGGAAAAGCTATTTGGACAAACAACAAGGAAATCAAATGATATTTCACGGGACTCACTCAATGCTTTATATAAAAGTAAGATTATTGGTCCCTTAAAAGAGGCAAACATGGCTTTTGTTCCCTGTTAGCAGGGACAGCCACTTCCCGGGGGTGGCCATGGACAGCCTGCTCTGCCTGGTAACTAAGTGCCCCAAGGCCCATGCGCTGCTGGGGGAGGCCAGGAGGAAAGCCCCAGGCAGGCCAGGGTCCCTCTGGGGCAGCTAGCTGGCCTGGAAGTTTGGGGTGTCTGGTTTCAGCTATTGTGTTCCCACTTTGCAGGCTGGCCTCAAGATTATGCTAATTAACTCCAGGTCCCGGGTCTCCTGTTGCCTGGTGACAAAGTTTCACAGTCGAGGAGGAGGAACTGGCATGAACAGGGTAAGTTTTTCTCTGGTGATGGCCCTGCATTTATCGATTTACTTGAACTTTGCCCAACAACCCACGGCTTCAAACTCTGCTTTTTGCTTTCCTCCTTTGAGTAAGCAACTTTGGAAATGGCCGGTTCTCCCGGTAGGTATGCTTTATTTACAAACCCCAGACGCAAGCTAATTCATTATTTAGGAGAGGAGGAAGCTGGCCCTGAGCCCCAGGCAGGAAGGGCAGCTAGTAGGGGACCCAGCTGGGGACCCAGCAGGGCTTTCTTGGGTGCCTGGGGCCATGGCTCAGCTTGGTTAGGTCGGTGTGTGAGTCTGGGCCTTTGGAGTCATGCTCGGGTCTCTTGCCAAAGTCTGAGTCTGAAATGAGAAGGTAAAATTTGCTGCTCCTACAAGCAGGGGAGACTAGTGTTTGAACTGCTGCTGAACCCAACCGGTGACTGACCCCTCAAAGAAACTGCGGTGGGGTTCTCTTCACTCATGAGGCTGGAGCCTGATTACTGCTGACTGTGGTAGCTTTGGGAGCACAATCCATCTTTTGAAAAGTCTGGAGGCAAACCCTTGCCACAAGTTATCCTGAACACTGGGATCCATTAACGAGTAAAGTCCTAGGTGGGGCTGGGCCTTTCGAGGAGAGACTCTTCAAGGAACACACTAGAACACATTCCTTATGTCCTAAATGGGAAAAAGTAGGTGACTTTGGACAGGCTACTTGCCACGTATGTCCCATGGAGATGAAGATCAGTACATCAGGTGGTTATAAGAATTCCTTAGGATATCTGTAAAATGTCTGGCCCGTAGTAGGTGGTCAATATAATCCATACACACAATCTGAAAGCAGAAACTTCAAATGTGTTAAAAACCGTGCAGTGTCGTTGCTTTGCAAAGGGTCTGGCACATAGTAGGCTCTCAATACATTTATGAATCGTATGTGATGTTATGTGAACCAAGTACTGAACACTGACTCCTTGGGATAAAACGGGGAGTCAGAAAGGTTAGGAAATGTGTACAAAGTCACATATCTAGGGAGAGACAGAACTGCGACTGGTCTCCAAGCCAGGGTGACTCATATGTTTTTCTGGGCTTGAGCCTCAGCCTGCAGAGGAGAAGGGAGGTACTGAGACAGCCACTGCCCACTCTGCAGAGCACCTGAACCCCCACAGTTGTCTAGAGACCAATTTTTAGGGCCTAGTGCTTGGTGGCTTCAATTTCCTCTTGGGGATCCTAGGTTCTCCTACTGTTGCTGACGAGAGGTGGGCGTGCTTTCTCCATCCACCCATCATCTGGGCGATGGGAAAGCCAAACTAGGTGATGTTTCCTGGTCCCTGGTGTCCCTAGAACACAAGGTGTGCACTGAAACATGCCCCCCTCCAAACAGGCATGGCGGGTTCCCCTGCCACATCATCCATCGCCAGCTTTCCATCCACGGCCAATTCGGTTCATTGCCAACCTCCAATTTCCTGCCAGTCTACATCATAGATCTCATCTCGGCCCCCAGAGCTGGGTCTGGTAACACACACATGCTTTCTTTGCTGTGAGGAGTGAGTCTTAAGGATGGGGCTTAACCTCAGTGCAGTGAAAGTCCCCTTAGATTCCAGCTCAGTTTAGGCTAGTGTCTGGAAAATACGATGAGTCAGCAGCTTTCTTGTCAGCCCAGAGGGCCAAATTTATCACAGGATGTTGTCAAATCAAACTTCCAGGGAAAAGCCAAATGGCAGTTCGGCCCTCAGACAAGAAAACTGAGCAGATGCTAGCTCTGCTTGACCAGCATGTGACTGTGACAGGGGACATGCTCTGGAGGCTCACGAGGTGCTTTCTCGGTAAAGTGGGATGGGTGGATTAAATGAGACAATACATGTGATGCCCTTGGACATAAAATAAGCACTCAACACGTATAGAAACATGTATAGAAAATGCCAGCCTGCTCTTGCCTTTTCTCTTTGACCCACGTGGGCGACCCAGAAGACCGTTCCATTGGTTCTGCTCCCACCACATATGGCGAATATGCACCGTCCTCCTCCCCACTCCCTTGGTGCACACCACCTTCTTCTCCTGCCTGCAAGTGGCTGTCTTTGTCTACTCTTCCCTCCCTACCTCTGCAGACTTCCCAGCAGCCGGGGTGACGCCTCTAAACTTCACATGCTCCACCTCATGCAGCCCTGCAGCCCCTGGCCAGCTCTCTGTCGTTATCTTGCACCTTCTTTCTGTCCCTGCTCCAGCCCCCTTGGCTTCTCCTTTCTCTTAAACACCACAAGCACCCCCCCCCCCCATAGGACTTTGCACCTAGTGCACCTTTTCTGCGGTGCTCTTCTCCAAATCCTCCCATGTGACATCATCGAGTGTCACCTCAAATGTCACCTGAGATGACTTCCCCCACCTTCTCAGTCTAAATTTGGCCACCTCCTCCCCAATATTCTCTTCCCGACCCTTGGCATTCCCTTTGACATCTACCAGTTTTGATTTTTTGCAGAACATCTACAGCAACTGAACTGAGCTCGAGTCTTTTTGGTTTTGTTTTGTTTTGTTTTTATTGATTGACTTGCTTTCTCCGAAAATTGTCGTTTCATGAGAAACACAGCGATGTCTGCCTTGTTCACTGTGTATCTTCCGACCTGACCTTGACCTATAGAATGACTCAAATACAAGTGTTGAATGAATGCATGAATGAATGGGCAAGTGAGTAGCTTGGGCTGTAGCAGGCTGTAGAGGTTAAAAGTGGACAAAGGTATAATTGTATCTTCTAATTGTTGCTATGTTTTTTCTTTTGTTATTAGTATTATCATTAATCATTTGTGTTTAAAAGGTTGCAAAGGCTTTTGTCCTTGGGAATCTGCAAAGATCGGTCTGCAAGTCTTAAACCTGGTATCGATGACTAGTGGGGAGTGTCCTAGGGCTACTCAGTGGAGAGAAGCAATCACTACGGTGCTGTTTGGTAGATCTAACAGTATTTACCATCATAAAGGCACTTAGCACTTGCTCCACACTGGCCACTCAATGTATACTCATCCCCACATTTACTTTTCAAAACAACCTACAATTTTCTGACCCGTTTTGCTGACCAGTAAACTGAGCTCATGATTAAAACCAGGCTGGCGGTAAAGATGGGGTGGAGCCCAGTTCTAATGGCCTCAAAGCCTCTGTGGTCCCTGCTTCTATTATGACTGCCTTCTATTAAGTACCTTTATACACGACAGGAAGGGAACAGACAAAATGGCTCCCACCTGGGCACCATCCCTATCTGGAAAATGCCAAAGAGCTGCCCCACCCTAAACCAAGTGCTGCTGGCTGTCATTATGGCCATTCTTCCTACCATTTCCAGCAAGTTATATCTATCTGCCTAAAATCAGAAAAGGGGTGACAGTGCGGAATACTTCAGTAATAATTTCAAGCAAGCCCAATAAAGACTGAAGGAGGAGTGGGAAATCTGAATTCAGGAAATATTTCTATAGAAAAAAATAAGATTAGAAGTCACAGCATTTTTGAAAGACAGGTGCCTAACATACAAGCCATGAGCCCCAAACCACCCTTTTGCACCCTTTAACCTCAGCATCCCTTTAAAAATTAGACCCTGATCTTTCCAGTGGCCTCCCCCTCTGGATGGAGAAAAGTTAGCCACTTTTTAAATAAATATCCTCCCCTACATCGCATCATAGTTTGGGCCACCAACACATAAAAGGCCATGTGGTTTTTATATCATGCTCATCTGTGCTTGATCAGGGTTTTCAGTGCAGTGGAAGCCTTGCTGGCTCTGAGGGAACATCTCTGGAGGGAACAAGAATGGCTCCCTCCCCCTGCCCCTCCTCCACCACCACTGTCAGCATGGCCAAGCATGGGGCTGCCTGGAAACTGGGCTCTCTGCCTCCCGCTTAAGTCGTATGTCTGCAGGTGGTGGGGCGCTTTTCGGTGCTCCCCCACCTCCATCTGCAACTGCCACCAGGCAACTCGGGGCTCTCAACTCACAAGCGACACCATCACCATCCATCACCAAGGCTCCCATTCACTAGGCACCTGTCACGTCCTGGCCTTTTCCTCCTACACAATCTTCACATTGCCCCACTCTACCTGAGGAGAACGAGGCTCAGAGGACTATGGCTTCTCTTACACATTAGGAGGAAGTAGGAATTCAGGATGTGAGCCAGGCTGGTCCACCCCCAAAACTGCGGCTCTCTGTATATGTGGTCCCTCCTTGTCTTTGTCTGGGGAATATTTTCTCAGATTTTCCTCTTTGATTCAAATATGCTCAATATTTTAAAATCTTTCTTGCACACACACACACACACACACACACACACACACACACACACACACCACGTCTATTTTAAACAGGGTGATATGAGTGGTTTTACAGAACTCATGCGATTGAAAAGGAAGTGTGTGTGTGTGTGTGTGTGTGTGTGTGTGTGTATGAGTGTGGGTGAATGTGTTTGTAACTTTCTTAATTAGAAATAGATTCTGTAGATACAGAATCTTGCAGATAATTTGGAAACTACCCAGGCATTTAAGGAAGTAAAAATAACCCGATACCATAATACCCAGAGGGCATTCTTGCTAATATTTGGATGTTCTTCCAACTTTTTCTCTGTGGGCTTGCATGCATGCTCCTGAGAGCGCTGATGTAATATGTGCATGTAACGTGTTCTTCATAACATTATATCTCAAAAGATTTCCTTTCAGCATTTCTGAAAAATGATGTTTTTGTTTTGTTTTAGTTACTGTTGAGTATCTGTTTCATTCTATGACTGCACAGTAATTATTTAATCAGTTGTCCATTGTTAGATATGTGGATTGTGTCCACTTGTTTTTATTATTTTAAGTGGCACTGCCATAAACATATTTATACAGAACGTTTTGTTCTTATTTCTTGAAGGGAAATGCTTAGAAGTGGCATCTGTGCTTCCTGGATAGCCGGGGGGCCCGTCCCTTCCGGGATGGTAAGCCCCATCTCCTCAGACCTCCTGCTTGATTCCATTGCTCTACCTTTGCACTTGTTCATTCCTACTTTTA